GATGGACTACCCAGTGAGTTAATCCATTAGCACATATATTTTGGACTGACACTAGAGCTAGACAATGAACTGAGTCTGGCACTGAATATAAGTAAGAGAGTATACTATACTTGGGAAAATGTGAAGAATTTTCAATAATCCCAAACTATTCTCCTTGCACAAAACCCATCTGATAACATGAACTATCTCGCAGTAATGCTTTGGATGCTATGGCTACAAAGATCAACATACCACAATTTCAGAAGAGCAGTTTGATTGATGCAACTGCTTGTTTTATGCCTTGCTTAATATTGATGATGGCAGCTAAGTGGCTCAGTGAATAGAGTGCCAAACCTGGACTCAGAAAAATCTGAGTTCAAATCTAGCTTCAGACACTTGCAAGCTGTATGACTTTGGGCAAGTCACTTAACCCTTGTTTCCCTCAGTTTCCCTTCTGTAAAATGGGAACACACTGGAGAAGTCATTTTATTGATATGGAAATTCCTTCCATCAATATAGATTAGCAATTCTCCTTGAGTTAACTGACCCTGGGGTAGCTGGGAGGCTAAGGGACTTGCACATGGACACATAGGTACTATGAATGCCTATCTTTTTTTTTTTGGTGAGGCAATTGGGGTTAAGTGACTTGCCCAAGGTCACACAGCTAGTAAGTGTCGAGCGTCTGAGGCCAGATTTGAATTCAGGTACTCCTGACTCCAAGGTCAGAGCTTTATCCACTGTGCCACCTAGCTGCCCCCTATGAACTCCTATCTAGCTGAGTTCAAGGTATGCCCTCTCGTTGATCTGCTGTCTCAACCACATAAGATATCCCCCAGGAAACATAGAGTAGGACTGAAAAAGGAGATGGATGTTTTAAGAGGAAGCATAACAAATCAACAGCCTCTGTGCTGGCCTGGTACCTACAAAGTATGACAAGATCTAGAGGGAGGCCTCCACTATGCTTGGCAATATCTATACAGGATTCACAACATGGAAGAATGCAGTCAAGAATTCATAAGAGAAGGTATGGTGAGAAGCATATAAAATGAGAAGATACTGAAATCTGCACTGGTGGAGAGAGTATTCATATTGATAAGTCCAAGGATCCATTGATGGACTGAAGAAAGGAAATTTTCTTGTATTCATCCATTCAAACTTTTTTTTTCAGGGGAGAGAAGGGAGCGAGGATAGTCAGGTAGTCCAAGGACTCTGAAATGAACTCTCCTCAATCTATTTCCCAGGTCAGCCATTTTTCTGATGACGTATTTCACATTTTCTTCCATTTTTTCATTCTTTTGGTTTTGTTGGATTCTTTTTGTCTCATGGAGTCATTAGCTTCCATTTGCCCAATTCTAATTTTTAAGGAATTTCTTCAGTCAGCTTTTGTACCTCCTTTTCTACCTGGCCAATTCAACTTTTTAAGGAACTGTTTTCTTCGCTGAATTTTTATACATCTTTTCCCATTTTTTGTGCTTCCTTTACTAAGCCATTGACGATTTTTCATGATTCTCTTGCATAACTGTTTTCCCAATTTTTCTTCTCTCTCTCTTATTTGATTTTTAAAATCCTTTTTGAGCTCTTCCAGGAGTTCTTTTTGGGCCTGAGACCAGTTCATATTTCTCTTTGAGGTTTGTCTGTAGGCATTTTGACATTGTTATCCTCTTCTGAGTTTGTGTTTTGAGCTTCCCTCTTGTCAAAGTAGCAACTAAGAGCAAGCAGGTGAATCTGAAACAGGGATAGCTTACCAGAGTCACGGTGCTCAAACCCAGTGCCTATGGCCTCATCAAAACAGTGCTCTGGCTGACTGGGTTGGCCACATTTACGGTTATTTACATAATGCTGTAAGAGCTATCTAGGAAGTCAGGTGCAATTCAAGAACACCTTTTTAAAAAGTCACTTATCTGTGGAACTACACGTGAATACTAAAGAAAAGAGATGATATAAATATACACTATACTACTAAATGAAAGGTGACTGAAAATATATGGTAAAAGTACATTAAAAAAGATAAAATATTACTTCGCCAAAACTCTGAACTTCTGAAATTCAAAAAAACTGAGACATTTAAAAGCGCATTTTAAAATTAATACACCCCAAACAGACATATTCATAATTAGATATGTGACCTTGGGCAAGTCACTAACCTCTTCGGACCTCAGTTTTTCATTTGTAAAGTGAGGGGGCTACACTAGGTGATTTCTAAGAAATTTTCTGGCTTTATAATTCTTCACCAAACACATACTGAAAGTAAGAAAAAGGGCCTGTGCGTGGGTAATGTTTTTATGTGCATGACCTAAGGCAAGCATCCTTTTGCTTGAAAACCACGAATCGGGAATTTTAACCCAGTTATTCAGCTAAGTGATCTGTTAGTCTTTAAGTGCACTACTGTTTAATACTGAAGTACTTTAACTCTGCAAGGAACAACCTTGGAATGAAATGCTAGCAAACACTCATCCTCTTCTTCCTCTCTTCTCTTTCCCTCTTCCTCTCCTCCCCTCCTTTTCCCCCTTCCTTCTCTTTCCCTCTCTCTCTTTCTCCCCCCTTCCATATAGATTATATGTAATATAGTATAACCATATATTACTTGCAATATCATATATTATATCTGTAGAAAATCTATTATATATAATATGTATTATATAAAGGGAGAGGGGAGAGAGAGAAAGAGGAGTGAGGGAGGGGTAGAGGGAAAGAGAGATGAAACCAGAAACATGCAAACAGACTTTGTTCCCTGGGGAGAGGGGATTGATGCCTGCACCTGGGTACAAATAACTCCACCAGACCAAATGGTGAGGCTTTCAGCCCCAAAGATGGCACCAGCAGAGGAAGTGCATCCAACTATGAAGTGGCAGAGGCACAGGCTGAAGCAGAAGCACATTTTAGATCAGAATGCTTTCAATCCCATGGCCTCAGGAGGGAGGAACCAGGTGGCCAAATAATTCCTGAAACCCGTATTTCTTGGAGGTGGAATTTTCTGGACAGTGTTTGGTTCCTAGAGTCGGAGACCAAAAGCTTTCTAGAGAGATAAAGAGGGGTTCCTGAAGTGCCAGCATTTTTGAAGAAAAGAGGACTAAGCCCTAGGTCCCAGTGGGAGAAGTGGCAAGAGACTTAGTTTCAATACAGAGGAGCCAAAGCCTGGGCTTTGTGCTCTGCCATACCATAAGCATCTGGATGTACAGATCTAATGGAAGGGTTTCTCTGGTCACCTCAGGTTATTTCCCTTTCCCATGAGCATGTTGAACTATACAGGTACCTAGGAGGAAAGAGGACTCACCAGAGAGGAAAGAAGAGAGAATTAGCTTTTGGGGGCCTACTGAGTCCTACATTTTTCTGTAGTGTAGCATAACGCCTATTATACACCCAATATATATTGTTAGCTGAGACCTTTATGTATGCCTGAGGGATTCTGGACATGAGGCATACTCAAGGATTCCTAGAAGAAACTCTAGGTGGGGCAAAATGAGTCAAAGAGGGATGATTTTCAAGAGGCCCCCAAAACTGAACCTAGTAAAGGGAATAGATATTTTTAGGATAAATCCTACTAATAGGCTATCTGGGTCTAAAGTTCTGATCAGCTCTGTGACTTTCGTTGTACATTGCTAGATTGCGCTTCAAAATGTTTGTGCCACACCACAATCCCAACTAACTCCGTATCATATTGCCACTTTCTCTGCAGGTCAGCAATACTGAATTTTTTTTGAAGGAAGAGCATTTTTGCTATTATAGTAGGCATAAAGTGGTATCTTAAGATTATCTTGATCTGAATATCTATGTTTATTAAGTAGTTTGGACATATTTTTGATGTGGTTACTAACTGCTCTCCAATGGAGGGTGTATATTAACCTGATCATTAAGATCATAGTTCTACAAGTATTAGAGATTTTAAAAGATCATCTAGTCTAACCTTTGTCATTTTACAGATGAGGAAACAGAGAACTGCGGAAGCTGAGTCACTTGCCCAAGGCCACACAGGAAGTAAATTGAAAAGTGAGATTTGAATCTATGTCCATAGAACCCAGCACTCCTGCTCTTTCCACTGTTATCAAGCTGCCTATTTAGTTCTTTGCTGTTCAGTCATTCTTCTGTCATGTCTGACTCTTCATGACCCCATTTGGGGTTTTCTTGGCAAAGATACTGGAGTGGTTTGTCATTTCCTTCTGTAGCTCATCTTACAGATGAAGAAACTGGGGCAAACAGGGTTAGGTGACTTGCCCAGGGTCATACTGCTAGTAAATGTCTGAGGCTGGATTTGACCTCAGGTTCTCCTGACTCTAGGCTGACTCTATCTACTGTACCACATAGCTGCCCTACCTATTTTGTTAGACTATGGCATATTTAAGTTTTAATACAAGATTTCATTTTTGTAGTTTGTATATTTATCTATTTGCTTTATTGCTGTTAATTAAATTTGTAATTTTAAAAACAAAGGATAACATTCTGGACTTCCTAACTGCTAAACTCGACAAATTATTTGCCCCTCATGTTATGCTTATAGTAATTCTTTTGTATTTTTCTTTTTGTTCAGATCTGTGATTTCATTAATATAGAGAACTCTTGGTGAGGAAATTCTCCATGGATGCAGATGGGCAACTTGAAGTCTTAGAAGCCCATCTCGGGTACCATTAAGTCACCTACCAACGATACACTGCTAGTATATACTGGAGTCAGAACTTGAACTTAGGTCATTATGGCCCCATGGCCAGACGTGCCATTCTGCTTCTCATAGTAGGTAATAAAATCTGACATCTCAGTAAGTTTTGTTAAGAGTACTTCCTTAACTTAGGATTATGCCAGGCTTAATTGACTTAATTGGTAATGCACTAGTCAATCAGAAAAGGCTGAAATATCACTTAGTGTTTAACAATGAACATGAGTCCTTTATTAAATTTTGAATTGTACTGAAAACAACGACCAATCAGAAAGAATTTTGACTCTGACCCTTTGAGTCAAGCATGTTTTCTTTTAAACAGGCTTCTGAGGGAGCAAATAAACTTTGTAATGCAAAGAAATGGTCTACTTACAGATACATAAAACCACAAGAAAGAGGAAGTATGTAACCAATTCTCGCAGAACACTTTTCAGATATTTCTCTCGGCTTGTATTGCTTTCTTCCATCAGTCTTGTTCCCCAGAGACCTTAAATATTAAAAGATAATAATAATAATAATAATAAGTTAACTTATTTCATTCACATTTCAGCTATAACATACACGGCAAGGAAAAAACCTAGAAAATCATAAAAGAGAACAACCACTTAAGGCCATTAACTATTTTTCATTACAAAATCTGATATAAGGTTATATATCTAATATGTTACTAAAATTTCCATCTTAAAGATTCATAAAATTGAAATGCATAGTGTTAAGTATAGTGACCGAGATAAAAAGTAATCTAAGTAACTACTATAGTACTTGATACAAATATACTAAGTACAACCCCCATCACCTGACCTACACGTGCTTTTTCTGATAAAAGTGTTTTAAAGGCATCTTTTAATCAATCAGCAAGCTTTCATTAGATGCTTACTATATGGCAGACACTGCGCTGGGCCCTGGGAATACAAAGACAAAGGGAAAAACAATTCCTGGCCACAAGGAGTTCACTCCAATGGTGTACATAAGGTAAATACACAGATATATTCACAAGATACAGATACAGTAGATGGAAGATAACTCTGAGTACACTAGCAGCTAGGGGTCCTGGGAAAGACTGCCTGCTAAGGCAGCTCTTAAGCTGAGTCTTGAACGAAGGCAGAGATTCTAAGAGGTAGAAGTGAGTGAGAACACACCAGACATAAAGGGCAGCCAGTGTGATGCACAGAGCTGGGGAGGGAGGTCAGCAACGAGGGAGGCCAGTATGGCTGGGCTGCAGACTGCACTGCGGGGAATAATGTGTAAGAAAACTGGGAAGGCAGGAAGGAGCCAGGCTGTAAGGATGATTAAATGTTTGATCCGAGAGGTAAGAGGAAGCCACTGGAGTTATTTAATATGGTCTTCAAAACTTGTCTCACACATAATAGCTGTGTGATATGGTCAAATCTGTGCTTCAGAAAAATCCCTTTGGTAGTTATGTGGAATATGGAGTGAAGTAGAGAAATACATCAGGTAGGGAGACCAATTAGGAGGTTATGATAATAATCTAAGTGAGAGGTGATGAATATTTAAATCAGGGGTGGTGACCGTGTGAGTGGAAAGAAAGAAGTATATATTAGAGATGTTGTAGAGGAGAAATGAATTTGGATATCAAGGGACTGGTGAGTAGCTGCACTGTAGCATTGGGCATAGTTCAGCCTAGAAGTCAGAGCTGGATATACAGAACTAGAAATCACCAGCAGGGAGATCATGACTGAATCCACAGAAACTAATGAGATTGCTAAATGAGATAGTGTGGATAAAAAAAAAAAGAGTCCAAGACAGAGCCCTGGGGGGACAACCATGAATGCTACAATAGAGATGAAGTGGTAAAGGAGACTGAAAAAGAGTAGTTAGAAAGATAAAGGAATCAAGAAAGAGCAACGGGAAAAGGAGAGGGGAGAATGCCTGGAAGAAGAAATGATATTAAATGTCAAAATGAAGAAAGAAAAAAGGGGGGAAAGAAGGAAGAGGATATTAAGTTAAGCAATTGGACTATTGGTAACTTTGGAGAAAGTAGATTTGGTTAAACGATTAGATTGGAAGCCAGATTACAAAGGGATTGAGAAGAAATGAGAGGAGAACAAGAGGAGGAAACCAATCGTAGGCAGCCTTTTCATGGAGTGAAGCTGAAGGCCAAGGCTGTAAGCTGGCAAGGATGGCTGCAGCAATGGAAGGGTTTTTTTTTTTTTTTTAGAATTGGGAAGCTATAGGCCTGTTTGTAAACAACAGGGAAGCAGCCAGTAAAGAGAAATATTGACTACTGAGGAAATATGGATAATGGCAGAGGCAATTTGTTGTAGAAATCAGGAAGCAATGAGATCAACAAGTAGAGAGGTTTGCAAGAAGGAGGGCAACGCTGTCATCAGAGACTGCAGTAATAAAGGAGATGGTGGAGGGAAAAGTATCATGAGAGACATAGAAGAGGGGAGAAAAGAGGGCTCAAGGCAAATGGTCTCAATTTTTTCCTAAGAAGTATGACATAAGGCAAAGTCCTGAGCTGAGAGGATGGAGGGAAGTGAGTTCTATATGAAGCCTAGAAGAGACAAAGCAAATTATACACAGAGGCAGAGCCATGACTGTGGAGTAAAGGCAGCGACCTAGCCAAATTCTCCCAGCATTCCCCTCCAAACAACTTTAAAATAATGCATCAAATCAAATTCTGGAGCAGCAGAGACAACAAAAAGTCAGAGTGAGACATTTTTCCAGCCTGAGGCAATGAAGAAGCCTGTGACACTGGGGTGGGGGCCAGCCTGAAGCACACATGGTGGCCATACCAGCTATTGGCCTTGGAGTCTACTGTGACAGAAGCAGCAGCAGCAGCTTCTGGAGCTTTCAACCCATAGACAGGAAGGAAATTGGACAACTGGTCAGAAAGAGATTACAGAGCACCTGGAGCTGACATTGGGTGCAGGACCAGAGACTGTTTGGCAACTCTACTGCCCATGTATCATTCCAGGTCAAAGCTCTAGGGTGCAGAGTGCTTGTGGTCAGTGACAAAGGAGCAGGGACCCTGATCGCAACTGCAGGGTAGAGAGCAGCACAAATACTTGTGGCTGCAGGGGAGAAGGGGCCTTTTTCAGGACCAGAGCACAGAGAAGAGAAGTGACCAAACCTCTCCTCAGATCACACCACCTTGTTAGCAACAAAATCTTACAGATACCCAGAACTAGCTCTGAAAATACCAGTACAAAAAAGCCTGAAGCTTGGGACAGTATTTCTCCATCGAAGAGGGTGAACATAATGTTTACATTACAATGTCAAGAAATAGGCTGGAAAAATGAGCAAAGACCAACAAAAAAGAACTTGGCCATAAGAGACTACTATGATGACAGGGAAGATCAAGACACAAACCAGAAGAAAATAACATGAAAACAGCTACAAGCAAAGCCTCAAAGAAAAATACAAATTGGAAATAAGCTCAACAAGAATTACTGGAAGGGGCAAAGAATGAGATAAGAATGGTAGAAGAAAAAATTGAGGAAAAAAACCAGCAGTGATGTAACAAAATCATGAAAAGAGAATTAACAGCTTGGTAAAAGAAGCACCAAAAAATACTGAAGAAAACAACATCTTATAAAACAGAATCGGGCAAATGATGAAGGGAGCACAAAAATTCATTGAAGAAAAAACTCCTTTAAAAAGCAGAATTGTCCAAATGGAAAAAGACATACAAAAGCTCACTGAAGAAAATAATTCCTTAAAAATTAGAATTGATCAAGTAGAAGCTAATTACTCCAGAAGACATCAAGAAACAATAAAACAAACTCAAAAGAATAGGAAAAAAATGTGAAATATCTCATTGGAATAACAACTGACATGGAAAACAGATCCAGGAGAGATAATTTAAGAATAACTAGACTACCTGAAAGCCATGATTTAAAAAAAAAGAGCCTAAAAATCATCTTTCAAGAAATTATGAAGGACAGTGCTCTGATATCTTAGAACCAGAGGGTAAAATTGAAAATGAAATAGAAATTTCCCTTCACTCAGATGCCATCGGCTGCTATCTCCTCAATTCAGTACTATCTTAAATCAGGCCTAAACAACACATGCCCACAGGTCACTTGCAGTCTTGTCAAAGTGGTCCTTGGGCAGTATGTTGTGCAGGCCTGTTTTACATCCTCTACATTTTTTGCAGGCTGCCCCAAATCCTTCATTTTGGGAAAAAACCTTACCAAAGAAAATAATTTCCTGAAACTAGAATTAACCAAATGTCTAATTTGACTCCATGAAATATCAAGAAATATTAAAACAAAATCAAAAGACTGAAAAAAGGAGAAGAAAATTTTAGGTATTTTATAGCAAAAACAACTGACTTGGAACACAGTTCAAAGAAAGATAATTAAAAAAACATTTTTAAAGAGGCTAGGCATCATATTTCAGGAAATCACAAAACTACACAGATCTCTTAGAATCAGAGGGAAAAGCAGAATGAGAAAGAGTCCACCAGTCACCTCCTGAAAGAAACCCCAAAATAAAAACTCCCAAGAACATTACATAACTTCCAGATCAAAGAAAATATACTGCAAGCAATCAGAAAGAAAGAATTCAAATAGCATGGAGCCAAGTCAGGATTAACCAAGATTTAGCAGCCACTACTACAAAGGAGTACAAAGCTTAGAATATGATATTCCAGAAGGTACAAGATCTAGGCTTATAGCCAAGATAAACTCCTATGGAGAGGCGCAGGAGGAAATGGACCTTTACCAAAATTGTGAACTGATGAAAACACCAGAGCTGAGTAGAAAATTTCACATACAAATATAGGAGTCAAGTGAAGCTTAAAAAGGTACATATAATTAAGCAATCATAAGAGACTAAAGAAGGATTTATAAACTATTTATATTCTTATATGGAGAGATGAACCATGTATTCCCCTATATCATTATCAGGGATCACAGAACGCTTCTAATTAGACAGAGGATCTGGGAGTAATTCTGCTATGTTTCAATGATCTAAGAAAAATGGATAAAGGGGAAGAGACATACAGTTGGGGACTTGGGGAAAAGGAGAGGAAGAATGGGTAAAATTATCTCACATAACCAAAGTGCCTGAATTCCCAGTATCCAGCACAGTGCCTCTCACACATAACAGGTGCATGATACATGTTTAATGAACTGAATGATTTTAAAGTAGCCTTACAGGCATAGAACAGACTCTAATGCATTTTATCTTAAGGACAGGTTACTATCCTAATCCATGCAATTCAAACACCGTACTTCAAATTTCTGAGCACATCAACAAGTGATGTATTGATATAGCATTGTACCATCATCTTCATTAGCCAGTTAGCAAACCTGCAGAGAGCTCAGTCAGGTAAATGAGTAAACTATATTCCTAGATTTCTGCAGACAATGAAAGAATTAATGTTCTATTTTATACAAAGTGTTCACAAAAACTCACATTTTCTAAATCCCCTTTTATGCCATAATAATAAGGGAAGAAAAAGGGACAGGGATGAGACCTAAAATTTAATTGGTAAAGAGAACCCTCAGTTGAGGAACCTCCCTTTACCAACACCAATTGGGCACTTTCTCTCCAACTTACAGTTATAGAGAATTGTCTTCTCCACAGATGTAGGCAACAACTGTCATATTACAACATGTGACCGATATGCAGCCAACCTGAGCAACTCTAAAATCCTGATAGTATTTCACAGTGCTACTAACTCCGATGAAGAGCACAGCCTCTGGGCTACAGCAGAAACATTCTTCAAAACAGAAAACTCCCTTTCTCACCTGAACTTCTTAAAAAAGCTACCTGTATAAGCAACTTAGAAAGATTTGAGAAATCTGATTACCACAATAAGGAAACATGATTCCAGACCGTATGATTCCAGAGGACGTATGCTACCCACTTCCTTACAGAGAGGTGATAGGCTCAGGGTACAGACTGGGGCATATATTTTGGGAATGGCCAACATAGGCATTGATCTGCCTTGGTAATATACATCATACAAGAGTTTTCTTTCCTTTTTTCTTGGTTTTTAAGAAAGGGGGAAGTGTGAGGAAAATAAAATAAATTTTTTGTTAATTGAAAAAAAATATATATTGACTAAACTTTGCCCTAAGGAAGCGATAATGAAAAGGCACCTCTTTACCCCTTCTTTATAAAGGTAGTAGACAATTGGTGTGGAACACTATATAAAATGTCAGACTTTTGTTACATTTGTGAACTTTTTACATTTTTGGTTAATTAACATTTTTTCATTTTTTACATTTATGTAATTTCATACATCTGTTAATTTTTCTGAAATTTTTTTTTAGTCTTAAAATTTTTTTATCAGGAGGGATGGCTCTCTGAAATGAATGGATGGAAACACTGGGGAACATGGATGATAAGAAAACAAAAGATGTCAATAAAAAAAAATTTAAGAAAGAAAAAGTTGTCTACACTCACTATCCTCAGTTCTTCTCCTCTCAGACTCTTCAGACCTTTTCAATCTGTCTACTGACTTCATCACTCAACTAAAACTGCTCTAAAATTACCAGTCTCTTAATGGTCAAATCTGGCGGTCTTTTCTTAGTCCTTCTGTCTCATCCTCTCAGCTGGGGGTGGGGGTGGAGGGGGAAGAACTAACTAATTTCTGAGTCCAGAGCCTTTCCCGGTATTAAGCAAACATCCTTTTCATCACCTGAGTCTTCCTTCCTGTCACATCTTCTCTTCACTGCAAACCAAGGATTTAGGCCCAAGTTCTAGAGTGACTCATTGAACCCACGACAAATACACAAGTAATGTTTATTTCCCCCCAAAGCACAGTTTCTGGTTTCCAAATTTAATTTGACTTCTGAGTTGGAACTAGAAAAAGTCATGGATATTCACTGAGAGAAGTCCCAATAGTTGCCTATGCATGTGAGTGATTTAGGACCAAGCAAACTTATCATTATCAAATGCAGCTGTATGAGGGGATAGCCTGGGTGAAATACTTTCAGGTTCTATGGAAGATGCTTATTCAGATAGAGAATGGACATAGATGGCCTCTCTCCCATTCCTTCACGTCTCCAGTCCATCCTGCATACCACTGCTTGATTAATCATTCTAGAATACTGTCCTCATTAGGTCATTCTCCAGCTCAAAAGCTGTGGATACATCAAGGTTTACAAAAAGAAGTTTAAATTCCTCAGCTTGGCTTTGAAATCATCACAATGCTACCCCAACTTGTCTCATTTCCCACAAACCCTCTAATATCTGCACAATCACAGAATTTGAGTTGGAAGTGACTCTAACCCTCTACCATCTAGCACAACATTATTTTAAGGAGGAGGAAACTGAGGGAGATTAAGTGACTTGCATAAATTCACATTAACATTAAAAATCAGATAGCGGATTTGAACTCAGGTCTTTCAAATGAACTGCATAGCTAACGATTCCCTCCCACTATCAGGGTATACGTTAAAAGGCACTATTTAAACACTTGAGACATTTAAACATAATTTAAATACGAGGCTCATGCTCTTTTGCACCATCCACTTAAATTCTATATTAGGGTTTAAAAGTTCAACATGACAGTGGAGGAGAAAAAACATTCCTGAAGAAATAAACTTGCTAGATAAGTTTTAGCAAGCAACATTTCATAAAACTTCTTTCCCCACAAGAAACTTTGAAGGAGTACGTGCTTTTCGAGGGGTTAAATTCACAATGTGCACCAAAATCCAATTCATTGTTGATCCTTCCAGGGAAAGTCCAAATTCAATGTTTTGGGTCTGTTTGTTTTTCCCAGGATGAGCGGGACAAAAACTTTGCTACCAGATGCGCTAATTGGAAAACTCTCACCCTCTCTTTTTGATCCCCTTGAAAGCTCCCTGCCCCGCCCCCATCCTCTACAAATCGATTACTCAATTCGGACTTGCCAGTTTTAGCAATCTATCCAAAGTTTAGACCAGAAGACTCAGCTGCAAGATTATCTTTGTCTCGCAGCGATTTCTCGGGCGAGGGTCCCACCACCCTCCTGCCGACAAAGCTAAGGCTTTTTGCAACATTGTTCTACGATCCCCGTAAATGTGTAACAGCTGCAATGGTGGATACATAGTAACCCCAGAGCACCGTGACATTCGTAGTAAAGGCTGCAGCGGTTCGGTACAGAAGCCCAGGCCCGCCGCCCCAAGCCCGCCTCACCTCGCAGCGCCCGCAGCAGCTTCTGGGCCCCGGGCGCCCGGGGCGGGGGCGGCGGCGGCGGCGGCGGCCCGTCCAGGGGGAGGTGGCGGTGCAGAGCCTCTCCGGGGCCCGCGGGGCCAGCGCACACGGGCCCCGGCGCCTCCCTCCTCCGGCGGCGGCGGCCGCTCGGGAGGCTGCCGCCGTGGAAGCCGGCCAGCCCCAGGCCGCTGGCGCCGGAGGAGGCGACCCCGGAGGAGGCGGCGGACCTGCGGCTGCCGGGCCGCCACTCCACGTCCATCTCCACCACCATGCCGCCCTCCTCCCCTTCCACCTCGTCGTCGTCGTCGTCGTCCTCGTCCTCCTCTGGCTCGAAGCCCGGGTTGTCCCGGCTCCACGCCTGCCTCGAGCACGCCGACAGGGGCGGCGACGGCGACGCCGAGGCCCCGGCCGGGGGGTCTCGGGCCGCCGCCTGCCGCAGCCGTTCCATCTCGATGTCCAGCCCCCGCGGCTCCCGGAGGCCGCCCGGGGAGGGGAGGCCCGGGGCCGCGAGGCCGCCGTCGGCGCCAGGGGCTGGCCCGCTCAGCCTGGCCCGGGCCGCCGCTGGCTCGGCTCTGGGGGGAGCGCCCGCCGGCAGCTGGGGCCTCACGCGACTCGGGTTCACCATGGCGGGCCGGCGGGCGGGCGGTCACTGCGGCTCGGAGCGCCGGGGCCGGCCTCGCTCCGCTCGGGCAGCGGCGGGAGCCACGTTCCTTTCTTCTGCAGGCCGCCGCAGCCCGCTCCCCGCCCCTGACTGCTCCACATTCCCGCGGCGGGCTCGGCTTCCTCCCCCCGCCCCCGGCCGCCCACGCCCCCACCCCCCGGCTCGGAGCGCGGCGCGGAGCCGGGACGGCCCGGGCCGAGGGGGATGGGAACGCGCTGCCCGGGCCCCAGAGGAAGGAGGAGGGAACGCGCTGCCCGGGCCCCAGAGGGGGGAGGAGGGAGGAGGGGACGCGCTGCCCGGGCCCCAGAGGGGGGAGGAGGGAGGAGGGGACGCGCTGCCCTGGCGCCCGCCTGCCTTGCCCCGGGCACGAAAGATGCTTAGCCCAAAGCGTGCTCCGGGAAAAGGGCTGGTAGGCCCGCTCCTCCTAAGCTCTGTCAGTTACGATTTATGAAGCGCCTACTGTATACCAGGCACCGTGCTGAGCGCTGAGGATACAGAAAGGGGCAAAAGACAGTCTCTGTCCTGAGGGAGCTCAGGGAGTATAGGGGGAGACAATATGCAAACAAACATGGACAAGGCAAGCTCTATGCCGGACAAACCGAGGGAAGGCATTGGAATTAGGACGGGCTGGGGAAGGTTTCCAGTAGAAGCGGGGATTTTGTCGTTGTTTGTCCTTCCTTCTCAAAGAGGACAGTGACTTCAGGGAGGTGATGCCAGGACATGCAAGTGTAAGGGAGGGTTGTGCAAAGTCACCAACCTCACTTTCTCCCCGACAGCCATCTGGCTCCAGTGGCAAGACACAGGTGAAGATGACTAGGGATGCCCCACCCCCCAGGGGGTATTTTAGTTGGGACTTAGAGGAAGCCGGAGAGGTCAGGAGGCAGGAGAAAGCGTTTCAGGCACTGGGACAGCCAGAGAGAATGCTCAGAGTCCAGAGATGGAGGGTTTTGTTCCTGGAACAACCACGAGTCACTGAGTCCAGGAGTAGGTGGAGGGCTGAAAATGTGAGAAGGCTGGAAAGACAAGGGGGGATAGCTTATGAAAGGCTTTGAATGCCAAGTAGAACATTTTGTATTTTATCCTGGAGGCGTTTGGGAAACACTGGAGTTTATTGAGTAGGGGAGGTGACATGCTTCGATTTAGAAAAATCACTTTAGTGGCAGAATGGAGGTTGGAGTTGGGGGAGAGTTGAAGGAGGCAGGCCCCCTAGCAGGCTATTGCCAGAAGCTCGAGTGAGAGGTGAGAGAGGGCGGAGTTTGCACCAGGATGGCGGCGGTTTGGGGATCCAGAGATAGAGCAGAAAACAGGTCTTGGCAACAGCTTGGATATTGAGGGGTGGGGTTGAGATAGGGAAGAATCCAGCCTGGAAGGATGAAGGGAAGGTGTGGGGAGGGGGGTGTTTAGGGGGTAAAATAATGAGTTCTGGTTGGCATGTGTTGAGTTTAAGGTGTCTGAATGGCAGTTGGAGGTGCAAGGTTGGAGGTCAGCTGAGAAGTTAGGGCAGGACAGGTATATTTGAGAATCGTCAGCATAGAGATGGTCATGGGAGTTGATGAGTGCAACAAGTGAGGTAACGGAGAGGGAGAAAGAGAAGAGGACTTCTACAGGATGCAGCAAAGGAGATAGGTCAGATAGGGAGGTGGAAAACCACGAGGGTGTAGTGTCCCAAAAACATGGAGAGGAGAGAGTGCTCGGCAGCATCGGAGGCTGCGGGGAGAGGGAGAATAATGAGGATTGAGAAAAAAGCCATCGGATTTGGCAATTAATAGATTATTGATAACCCGAGGGAGAGCAGTTTCAGGGGAATGATAAGGTCAGAAGCTGGATTGTGAGGGGTTGAGAGTGAGAGGAGAGAAAGAAAGTGGAGGCACCCATTGTAGACAGCCTTTTCAAGTTTAGCCACAACGTGGAGAGTAGATATAGGACAATAATTAGCAGGGCTGGAAGAATCAAGTGAAGAATTTTTTTAAAATTAAAAAAAAACTTTTGAAGGGTTTTTTCAGAGTGGGGGAGATATGGGTATGTTTATAGGCAGTAGGGAGTGAGCCAGTAAAGCGGGAGAGATTGAGAATAAGTGAAAGAAGGGGTGATCTGTTGGAGAAGGGATGGAATATCAGCCTCCTACATGAGGTTGTAGCTGGTTTCACCCTTCCTCTCCCCCAGCTTCTAGTTCTCCCCAACTCTTCTACTTCGGAGCTATTTTGGCTTTGGTTCCCCAGCCACTGCAATAAAGGGAAAATTGCAGTAAAGCAATGAATTTTTGTTTTCCCAGTGTATATAAAAGTTAATGTTTAGACTATACTGTAGTCTGTTAAGTATGCAGTAGTATTGTCTAAAAAACACAATGTACATGCCTTAATTAAAAAATGCTTTATTGCTAAAACATGCTAAACAGAGAGCCTTCAGCAGGTTATAATCTTTTTTTTTTTTTGGCTAGGCAATGGGTTTAAGTGACTTGCCCAAGGTCACACAGCTAGTAAGTGTTAAATGTCTAAGGTGGGATTTGAATTCAGGTCTTCCTGACTCCAGGCCAGTGCTCTATCCACTGCCCCACCTAGCTGCCCCAAGTCATAATATTTTTGCCAGTGGAGGGTCTTGCCCCAGTGTTGATGGCTGCTGACTGATCAAGTTTGTGGTTGCTGAAGAGTTGGGTGGCTGTGGCAATTTCTTAAGACAACAGTGAAGTTTGCCAAATAGACTGATTCTTCCTTTCACTTGAATGCTTAGAGGCCATTGGAGGGTTATTAATTGGCCTAATTTCAATATTATTGAGTCTCAAGAAATAAGGAGAGAGACAGGAAATGGCCATTGGGTGGAGCAGTTAGAATACATGCATTTATGGATTGTTCACCATCTTATATGGGTGAGGTTTATGGCACCCCCAAAACAATTACAATAGTAACATCAAAGATCACTGATCACAGATCAACATAAAGATATAATAATGTTGAAAAAGTTTGAAATATGGTGAGAATTACCAAAATGCGACATAGAGATTCAATGTGAGCACATTATTGGAAAAACGGCACCCAAAGACTGGCTCAACTCAAGTTGCCACAAACCTTGAATTTGTAAAAATAAATAAATAAAATAAATGCAAGGAAGTGCAATAAAACAAAGCACAATAAAACAAGCTATGCCTGTCTTTACTTTAGTAGATGGAGAGCTGGTCTTGGACCCAGAAAGACCTGTCATCTTCATCACATCCTGGCTTGGTCCCCTGGCACAAATCTCAGCTTCTCAGCTCCTTAAGACTAAAAGTTTCAGAAGATCACAACCTACATGAATAGATGGAATTTCTTCATCTGGGAGTTTGCATTCATTAATAAAACCATAAGTCCAGTCCCTCACCCTAATAGCATATTGTCTCTTCCAATAAAATGTAAGTTCCTTGAGAGCAAGGTTAAACATCTTTGTATTCCCCGTACCTGGCACATAGTAGGCGCTTCTTACTAAATGGTTGTTGCTTGTTATACCTTATGGACAGTTCACTGCTTTGGGATTGCTTTTATGAAGAAGATAAATCACCCTATTATAAGAAGAAGTTTATATCAATCCTAGGTGCATTAAGAAGCAGCGGTTCCTTTGGTGCTGTTTTGGGGAGTTTATTTCAGACGAGGAGTTAAATTCATGTTCACCTGTAATCTCTCCAAGCCCCTAGGTAGGAAAATTCCTAAAATTTAGCCAGAAGTTGTACTTGGTGCCTAAATTTATGTGTGTGCGTGTGTGTGTGTGTGTATATATATACATACATACATATATATATAGTTATCCCCTAGCTTCTTTGTGGTTGAGCTAAATTCATGTTACTGGAAAAATCTGGGTAATGAAACAGTAGATTATAAGACAGGGCCAGGACTGGAAAAGTATAGCTTTCCTTGGGACCTCCCTCCATCCTTGAGGAAGAGGGTGAGGCGGTGAGGGTCTTCATCAGCTCTGGTCTTCTGATTCACAATACCTGTAAACCCAATGATCATCCTCTATATGTCTTTTCTGTCATTCCTTAGTCCTTTTTTCTCTTTTTATTTCTAGTTCTTGGCTTAGTACCATAGGACCCAATTCATTCCTCTTTTATCAGAATTTTTATCTGGTTCTGAGGTAGCTCCTCCTTTTTTTGTTTTTAAACAAATTCATTAGAGTTTAACCAAGCCTTTTAGAGAAATAGCTTCGATTGATTCAAGAAGGTGTTGTAGCCCTGTTCAGATAGTTATGACCGATTGATTCCATCAAGAAGAGTTCTTTCCTAAAAAATAAGTACTTTTAAGTGGGTAGGATAATAAACGAAGCCCTGACCCTGATACAAAATCAAAAAGAAAACAGTTTCTATCTTGGTATATGGATTAAGTAAACTGAGATTGAGATGAAATTGTCCCTCTTTCAATTCCCTTTCTGTTCTTCTATTATGGATTATAAGAACAGCTACCTAAAATTATTTAGAAGAGAAAGAGACACAATCCATAAAAGAGCCTCAGGTTCAGAAAGGATCCCATGTGCCAAAGCTTCTTTGGCCGGCGTCTTAAGGCCTAAGCTACCTTAATGGAAGGTTTTATTCACCATCTAGAAAGAAGGCATTTTCCCATGAAAGAAGTTGGTTGAATTCATACTTTTCCTGAAATAAATTTGACCTTGAGAAACCATTGATGGGCCCACAAGATTGTCCTGTTTCCTGTTCTGTACCCATCTAGATAGTTTGGAACAGGTTAGGTCTTACGGAACATCTCTACTGAGAGAGAGGTTAGGTTTCAAGTCTTTTTATTCATTAACTCTCTTTTACTCATTAATCCCCAGAGCCCACTGCCTCAGAGGCAAATTAACTTACAGCAAATGAACTTATCTCATGTCTAAAGTTTGCCCAAAAAGGAAGCATCAAAAGGTACTCAGTGTTCTATATAAATCAGATATGGTACAGGCAATTTATTCCTATATGCAAAAGAAATGCTAAACATAAGAATTATATTATGCATTAACAGAAAGACTGAAACCAGAATTCCTTAACTTAACTTCTCACTACTGCTACAGTTGACAGACAAGCAAATACTTAAACCTCATCAG